GGGCTGGATTCGAACCCGCCAGCTCAGGTGTATGTGGCTGGAGCCTTAGCCGGTTGAGCCATAGGCGCCGAGCCACAAAATCAATTTTTTGACCTGACTATTTATACCCTCACATTATCCTGAAATAAATTTACTTAAAAAAAAAAACTTTGAAAATTAGTAATGTAAAAAGTGATGTGTGGCTTGGCACCTGTAGCTCAAGCAGCTAGGGCGCCAGCCACATACACCAGAGCGGGCGGGTTTGAATCCATACCTGACCTGCCAAACAATGACAACTACAACCAAAAAATAGCCAGGCCTTGTGGCAGGCACATGTAGTCCCAGCTACTTGGGAGGCTAAGGCAAGAGAATCGCTTAAGCCCAGGAGTTGGAGGTTGCTGTGAGCTGTGACACCATTGCACTCTACCAAGGGCAACGGCTTGAGGCTCTGTCTCAAAAAGGAAAAAAAAAAAAGTAATGTGAAAACTTGACAAATAGTTTATAACTTGTGTATCAGTTAGTGTGTTAACCAGTAATGCTACATGGATGTCACACCTGGGGGTGATGAGAAAGGCACGTCACCTTTGTGATTTTCCCCAAACTCATTCCAATCATGAGAAAAACATCAAAACCACTCAAACTGAGTGGTTCTACACAACACACCTACACAGTACTCCTCAAAAACATCAAGGTCCTGAAAAATGAGGAAGGAGCACGAGACCGGCAGAGAGTGCAGGGGACTAAAGAGTAGCTGCTGTCTAAGGGCGGACAAAGCACATGGCAGGATGGGGTCTGTACCACAGTTTTTGTGTGTTAAGATTAAAAATGTAGGCTGGGTGCGGTGGCTTATGCCTGTAATCCCAGCACTCTGGGAGACTGAGATGAGTAGGCTGCTCAAGCTCAGAAATTCAAGACCAGCCTCAGCAATAGTGAGACTCCATCTCTACTAAAAAGAGGAAAACTAGCCCAGTCTTAGGTACTTAGGAGGCTAAAGCAGGAAGATCACTTGAGCCCAGTGAGGTTGCTGAGAGCTACAATGACATCACAGCACTCTGCCCAGGGTGACAGAGTGAGATGCTATCTAAAAAAAAAGATTAAAAATGCTAAATCTTTAAACAATGTGTATATTCCAGATTTCAGCGGATGCTTGTTAGTTCCCTGCTGTATTTCCCCCTCATTCTTTACTGTAGTGCTGTTCCCTATACCTGCCAGGCTCACAGCTCTGTGAAATCTGCTAGCAGAAGCCTGTTTCTTCCTTAGTAAAATACTCTCACTAAATCTCACTAAAATGTCATAATGTTAACTGAGGTTAACATACAACAGGACCCAGCACACATGTGCCATGTGTTCCTTCACTTCCAAATCATTCCATACCACTCTAGTTTCTGATACTTCCCTATCTTCTCACCTTTAACCTCACTCCTTTGTCACCAACAGGACTCCCACCTCTGAGAGCTCCCAGTGCACATCACTCTTCCCACCACTAGCCCTCTATCCTGGTTCCTCTGTGTATCCTGCAAGGTACCATATTTAAGGACAGCTAGCAAAGGTCTTCAAACTACCTATAACCATGTGTAATAAAAAAACTACACATATTATTATAATTAAATATATTAGATCCTTAACCCTTTAGGAAATACACAAAGAGTTACACAGTAATAAACCCAAATCACAATTGCAAATAATAACATTAAGGGCTGCTGGTCTATGATCAGCATCCCTGAAGTAGGCATTATTATGCTCATTTTATGGATGAGGAAATTGGGGTTCACAGAAGTTCATTTCCCACAATCATGCAACTAGTTAGTGGCAGTGCTAGCATCCAATATCTGCCCTACGGTCGTGCAAAGCCCAATGCTCATTCCATTCTGCTATAACTTTTCCCTTGAGTTCCAAAACTCACAGGAATTCTAGATTTTTTCTACACTCCATGATACCAATCAGGGACTATTTTAAACATTAACAATTTCCCCCTCTTCATTCTCCTTCCAAAGGAAATACACATTTCATGAACTAATTAGAACTAATTATGATTCCAACATGAATTGTCATCGAAGTGTCTCTTCAGTATGACTCGGGAACCCCTCCTTGGGCATTATCCATCAGATAGGCCTTGCAGTCCAGCTCTCCTCTGCAGTTCTGACACCCAGTCAGGGTGGACATCGTCTTCCTCAAAGTCCCTGGGAGAAAACAGGGATGATCAGCCTCTCTATCGGGGTGCAGTAAGGATTTGTTGATGGATTCAAAGCGGAATCCCACTAGAGTACTTAAGTTTCTGAAAAATGAGTTCCACGAGGCAATTGAACAGAGAAATAACTGTTAGTTCTTCCAAAAGATCACGTCAATGTTTCTAAAATTTTTTTAATGTAAAACCCAATATATAAAAAATAACTAGTCCAAGATGAAAGGTCACATATGTAGGGCTCAGCAAGGAATTCTGTAATATCGGAACATGTTACCCATCCCAGACAAAAGATAAAGATATAAATATTCATTTATGATGAAAAGTAATATAACAAGCTCCTACTAACCTGAAATTATTATGGTTCAAATTTATGGCTTAAACTAAATCCTAGGCACACCCCCCACCCCCAGCTCAAGCTCCCTAGTATATCACAACTTACGTGTCCTCCTCATCCAGCCCAGGCTTGAGTCGCTCTGGATCCAAATGGACAGAATCATGGCCTCCATCAACAGTGTCTGATGCGTCTGTTTCTTCCGACAGGGGGCCTTTCAAGAACTCTTCTGAACCTTCAGGGGAATATTAACAGAAAGTATGCCCATTTAAACAGCATTTACTTACTTCACATATTTCAACTAAAATCCTCTACAAGCTTGCTGGCTAATTACAGATGTGCTCCTTATTTCTTCTAGGGTATCTAGGTATCGCCTCACATTAACCAGAATAATTTTTGGCACAAAACAGGCCCAGGAAGCATCAGTATGTGGATTAAAAAAAAAAAACAAAACAGTGGTTTCTTCAAGAGAAAAAAAAATCATAAATTACAATAAAATCTTTCAAATAGTTTCGGCGCCTGTGGCTTAAGCAGCTAAGGTGCCAGCCACATACACCTGAGCTGGTGGGTTCGAATCCAGCCTGGGCACGCCAAACAACAATGATGGCTGCAACCAAAAAATAGCCAGGCGTTGTGGTGGGCACCAGTAGTCCCAGCTACTTGGGAGGCAGAGGCAGGAGACTCGCTTGAGCCCAGGAGTTGGAGGTTGCTGTGAGCTATGATGCCGCAGCACTCTCAAATATAAGAATCTATGTTAAGGCATTTGGAAGTTGGATTACAGTTAATTTTTTTGCCTTTGAGCTTTCCCCTCCCAAGTTTGCACAATGGAGGAGAGAAAAAGTAGAGAATGAAAAAAAGACCACGTACATGCTTTCAAAAAATTCTGTAGGCAGTGATTACTTTTAGATTTTTTTGCTTACAGAATAAAAAACTAATTAGAAATATAGGCTAAACCTTATAAAAGTCATTTCAAAATCACTATATACTTTTTTTTTTTTTGAGACAGAGCCTCAAGCTGTCCCCCTGGGTAGAGTGCTGTGGCATCATAGCTCACAGCAACCTCCAACTCCTGGGCTCAAGTGAGTCTCCTGCCTCCACCTCCCAAGTAGCTGGGACTACAGGCGCCCGCCACAACGCCCAGCTATTTTTTGGTTGCAGCCGTCATTATTGTTTGGCAGGCCTGGGCTGGATTTGAACCCACTACCTTAAGTGTATGTGGCTGGTGCCTTAGCCACTTGAGCCACAGGTGCAGAACCACTACATACTTTTTAAACAGGGACTTTCCCAAAATGACAAAGATTTCATCATTAGACCACAAACATACGCCGGGATCTATAACTGCTAACTTGAAGTTCACAACCATTAATCAGTCTTCCTTAACATCTTCCTACCCTCAGGACTCCCATGATACCCTGCGCACAGCTCTGTCAGAATGTGTAAGCAGAGCACGGCAACTCTGTGTGCTGTCACCCCCAGTAAGGAGCTCCTTCACCCTTCTGGGTAGGAATTGTGTTTTGTTTTGTTTTGTTTTTATCTTAATAGCATCTTCATTAGGCACTCAATAAATATTTACCAAATAAACAAATACGACTAAATCTGTGGCAATACAGTTAAGACTTGCCATACCATTAGATGATCTACTTGGTATAATTTATCTTAGATTTTAACCTAGCCACATGGTTCAGTAACTGAAATATCAAAATTACATATAGACACACATCCTTAATGTAGCCCATTGGCCTAAATTCCAAAGAATGGTATTATAAAATGTTATTTTATGTAATTTTAGTAAAAATGTCCATAGGAAAAAAGTTAAAAATCAAACCTTAATTGTTCACCTTTTGAGCTCTACTCAATATAACAGAATTCAAGTAGACAACAAAAGAAGTCTTAAGAATTGTCACTAAAGCAATAGTGTTTTTTCAAGGTAAAAATGGGCTACTCTTAAAGTAGCAGCATGATTATTAAAATAAGCAGACAAGCCGGGAGCGGGAGCTCACATCTGTGATCCCAGCACTCTGTGTGGCTGAGGCGAGTGGATCGCTTGAGATCAGGAGTTCAACACAGCCACAGTCAAAGGATTTCCATGGTCACATAACAGGTATGAATTACCTTGTCTATATATTGTGTATGTTTGAAATGCCAAGCTGAGATCAGCGTTCTTAAGAATGTTCAACAAGGTATCAGGGGTCTCTTTGAGCCACTGCTTACGAGTATTATTTTTGCTGTACTTTATTGCAGAACCACCTAGTTGTGAAAAGACAAAAATTAGTCCCAAATTAAAAAAAAATTTTTTCTGTATTTATCTTTCAGATGGTATTTCAAGCAAAGTTAGTTATATTTGACCCTCATCTAAAATCTGTTTCAGTTGCCTGTATAAGCAAGGCTAAATACACTTCACAAACATTAAAGGAAAAACCTAGAAAACATTCTATAATAAAATAATAGTCTTCAATCTCACCACTAACCTCTATCATCCTCTGCTGTTAAACTGGATGTAAGTATGGGTAAGTTTTCCAAAGCTGCAAGAGCTATATTGGCTGAATTTTTCTCCCATTGTTGCCTCTGGAGGCTTGGTGAACCGGCTTTCCTAATATTACCTGATTTTAAGTATAAAAAAAGGAATGCTAAGCATATTATTTTTTCCTCTATATCCACATATATACTCTAATAATATGGTAGTATTAATATTTTTCTCTTTTAAACTCAGATCTAGCAACAATGTTCTTTCAAATCTAAGTAGTAAAGGAAATGAAAAAATGTCCAAAGTGAAAAGGTAAAATGAATAATTAAAGTGACTAAATTTCAAGAAACTATACATAATATGCAAATAGTTACATATTACACAGTGTATAAGGATAAGGCCCTGAGGGACTTATATACACACAGTATGCTATACTTGTCATGGTGGGTAGCAAAACAAATACTACTTTTCCTAATGGTTCTAAACACTGGCCTCTTTTTTTGTGTAGAAATATAAAATATTCCGGTAACATTAAATAAATTACTAGGCAAGCAAACCAGTATCTGTTTGTATACTTGCTCATGATCTCTAAGACCTGGTAACATGAAAACTGGTATTCCTCCTATATTCCCCAACTCCCACCTAAGCAATGATTAGAATTTTAGTAACTTACCCTTTTCTTCTCTGTTTACTTTCCCCAACGCACTTTCAACCACATTTTTATTAATGCTTTCTAAATCAGGATGGCTACACTTTCTACCTTGTTCTTCCTCTTGCTTTAAAAAAGATTAAAAGTACTGATTAATGCTTGAATTACTACGAAAAGGTCAACAAATATGCAAAGTCAGCTAGTCTCATTTTAAGTAAAAATTAATGAATTAAAAAACATGAATAGTCACAGAACCTCAAATACTTGTATATTACATCAAATAGACATACTAACGACCATATACATACATACACGCATATTAACAAGCACTAACCTACATATATGTAAATGCATATTAATAGTTATATACACAAACAGCAATTAGTATTAGCGATCACAAATATGAAGAAGAAGGCCAGGTGTGGGAGCTCACGCCTGTAATCCCAGCACTCTGACAGGCCAAGGCAGGTGGATCACTTGAGCTCAGGAGTTCAAGACCAGCCTCAAGTCCCCATCTCTACTAAAAACAGAAAAACTAGCTGGGTGGTGTTGTGGACACCTGTAATCCCAGCTACTCCAGAGGCTGAGGCAAGAGGACCACTTGAGCACAGGAGTTTAAGGTTGCTGTGAGTTGTGACAACAAGGCAATCTACTGAGGGCAATAGAGTGATACTCTTCACCCAACACCCCCCAAGATCAATGAAGATATATAAAAATGACAGAAATATTTCATAGGTCTTTATTGAGGAAAAGAATGGAAAATTTCATTATGGTTTGCTCTACTGGACTTTTCATGCTATAATATCAAAATGAGATATTTTATAAAGTTGCTATACAAGGGAAGTACCAGAAAGCATCCAGCCATGTAATATGAAAAATAGAGACAAACATGGCTGGATGCGTTCTGGGCAGGACCCCATACGTGGTCAAAATGTTCCTACTTAACTCATTGTTTTTTCAGATTATCGAAGCCCTGGATGTACTTCATGTAGTAACACTATCTATTACAGTTTTTTCCTTAAACTAAATCTGCATATATTCCCAGAAGGAATACAGATTTAGTACCTAGGTAGTCCCAGGCACACTAGTTTTCAATTTGTTGAAGGAATAAATAAGCAGTAGGCTTTGGCTTGCATACTGAATTTTCTTATTTCTACATAGTTATTCTCAAACTTCTCTTTCCCACACATCAAGAGGACACAAAAATCTCTATCACTTAACAGCAGTGGTTCCCTATAGCAGTGATTTCAAAGCCTCCCTAGGGAAGCAGAATCCTTTCCTCCCCACCGAGGAGCACCCTCCCTGCTCCTGCAGCTCCACCATCTTCAGTCTGGGCTCCCCTTGGCCTTCTTCCCACGTAGGATGCTGACCTGTGCCTGACTCTCTGTCTAACTCAAGTCCTCTGTTATCTAACTGACTTTTTGGCCTTTTCTCCATTCTGTTTACATATTGCACTATTTTCCTTCTGTGAACACATATCACTGTGCCCACTGCACATAGTATTCACAGTACAGTGGTAGCTGCCCAAAGAAGGTTCAGGACCTTCTGCAAAGGGGCATGAAAAAACTTTGTAGAGGCATGGAACTATCATGGCAGTGATTATATGGCTATGTAATATAATTACCAAAATTCATCAAACTGTATGCTAAAAATGGGTAAAATTTACTCCATGTAAATTATACTATACCTCTATAAAGCTAGAAAAATTAAAAACCCAGACATTACCAGGAAAAGAAGAAAAACTATAGGAGCTGAATATATTCCATTTGTAGCAAGGTAATGGTGATATGCTGCTATTTATAACCTAAGGTTCATTCAAACAAGTTACATGTTTAAAAACTAGTACATTCCACATATAGAGTAATTTGTTGTCAGTACATCTCTTCCTTTACTGAATTAAAATATTGAAAGAAGAAAATCACTAATAGTACATGATTTCCTAAGCTAGGCGTGACAGTATTATTTACAAATTCATGGCACCTTCAGTATAAAAGACCATCACAGCTGCCCGGGGCTGGACAAGACAAACAGGACTTTGAGGGCCAGGTTGAAAAATGGTTTGTGATATAATAGAGAAGCACTATGAGTTTAGAATAGAAAAAAATGTTAATGCCAAAATAGTAATGTAAATGTTATTTAGCTATTATAAAAGGAATGAAATTCTGACACATGCTGCAACATAGAGAAACCTTGAAAAAATTATGAATTAAAAATGACAGAAGCTAGACATAACAGTGAATACAGTGCAATTCCACTCAGATGAAATTTTGAGAGTAGGCAGAACCACAGAGACAGAAAGGCATTTAGAGGCTACTAGGGCTGGCGTGGTGGAAAGGGAAGCTATTGTTTAATTATAAGTACAGAGTTTCTGTCTGGGATGATAGTTTTAGAAATAGATAACAGTGATGGTTGCACATTATGAATATAATTAATGTCATTGGATTGTACACTTAAAAATTAGCTCAAATGGCAAATTTGATGTTATACAAAAACAACTGAAAAGCCAGGCTAAAACAAGATATTCATGACCAAAAGCAGGACAGAGTTCTCTCACATCTGCTATTAATAATTAAAAATTTAAAGGACAAGGGTACATATGAATCTTTCCAAATGTAGAATATAAATGTCTTGATACAATAACTAAGAAAATGCCATGAAGGCTATGTTAACCAGTTTGATGAAAATATTTCAAATTGTATATAAAAACAGCATACTGTACCCCATGACTGTATTAATGTACACAGCTATGATTTAATAAAAAAAAAAAAATTAAAGGACAGCACCTGTGGCTCAAGGAGTAGGGCACCAGGCCTATATGCCAGGGGTGGCAGGTTCAAGCCTGGCCCCAGCCAAAAACTGAAAAATAAAATTTTTTTTTTAAAAAACAAGCACAATAAGCTGGGTGTCATGGTGTACACCTCGAGTCTCAGTGACTCAGGAGGCTGGGCCAGGAGGATCACTTGAGCCCAGGAGTTTCAGACTGGCCTGGTTAGAACAGCAAGATCCTAAAATGTCTCTAAACATTTAAAATAATAAAAAACCTAAACACAATAAGTGGTTAATCAGAGGTGGCTGACCTGGCAGTGCAGGACAAAGCTCCAGATTACTGCACATGAGTCACTTAAATGGAGCATCTAGATTGCAGTCTTCCAAATATCTCACTGCACTTAAGGGCACCCAGTAGACAGAGGTTTCATAAATTTAATTTTAAAGTACTTACCACCATGTTTGCTTCTTTTCCCAAAGGTAGACTGATTCTGTTAGAATCTGCTTTAAAAAAGAGAGAGAGAGAGAAGATAGAAAGAGAAAGAACTTAAAGACTAGTTAAGTTAGGCTGGGTATGGTGGCTCATGCCTATAATCCTGACACTAGGGAAGGCCAAGGTGGGTGGGTTGCTTGATCTCACAAGTTCAACACGAGCTTGAGTAAAAACAAGACCCTCATCTCTACTAAAAGTAGAAAAACTGAGGCAAGAAGATTGCTTGAGTCTAAGAGTTGGAAGTTGCTGTGAGCTATGATGCCACAGCACTCTACCCAGGGCAACAGCTTGAGATTCTGTCTAAAAAAAAAAAAAAAGAAAGAAAAAAAAGAAAGACTCATTAAGTTCCTAATGCGAACTACATAAACCTTGAGAGACAGGTAACGGTTTTAAAGTCAAAGAACAGGCTGGGCATGGTGGCTCACACCTGTAATTCTAGCACTCTTGGAGGCTGAGGCAGGTGGATTGTCTGAGTTCATAAGATCTAGAACAGCCTGAACAAAAGTGAGACCCCCTGTCTCTACTAAAAAAATAGAAAACTGAGGCAAGAGAATTGTTTAAGCCCAACTTGGAGGTTGCCATGAGATATGATGCCACGGCACTCTACCCAGGGCAACAGCTTGAGACTCTGGCTCAAAAAATTAAAAAAATAATAAATAAATAAATAAATAAATAAATAAAGCCAAAGAATGAAAGCTCTTTGCTATTCTAAATAGGGATACCAAGCTGCATTCACCTACTGATGTACCTCAGCTATAGGGATACCAAGCTGCAATCACTTAGTGACACACCTAGCTATAGGGATACCAAGCTGCAATCACCTTCTGACGTACTTCAGCTATAGGGATACCAAGCTGCAATCACTTAGTGACACACCTCAGCTATAGGGATACCAAGCTGCAA